TGTGTTGTATATATATATAAACCAAGGGTTCCTTCACTCTCGTGTGTTACTGTGACTTGTAAAAGGTCAAAATCGATCCGAAACGTCGTCGTAAGTTTCTCTGTTATGTGTGCGGGTTATTTGTGTATTGTTCCTGTCACGGTATTGTGCTATTTTGTTTTTCTAACTGTAGAATGTCTCTCCTGCTTAGAAATAAATCACAGTGTTTTATTCTAAGTTAAACCTACCTAATGTGCTATGTGCCTAAAACTTTCCATTATACCATTGTAAAAAATAGAGGTAGGCCATGAACCTAAGTATAAGCAAAATATATTTCCCTTACAAAATGACTTACACCCTTTGTTAAAATTTGGGACGGATTTTGGGCTGTGTTGCTCCCATCTTTCCTAAGTTTTTATCGAAGAATATGAGCAAATCTAAATACGGATTTTCACGAAATATTTCTGAGTGTCTCATCTGATTGGTTGCGCCCTTCAGCGCTGATAACTTGGTAATGCAAAGTCCGAGAGGCTTCAAATTTAGTATTTATTTATCTAATGGGCAGAGGGGTAAGCCAGAAGAAGGCCTCGGTCAGATGACCAAAAGCTCCAGTAGCGGAAAATCGGCTTGAAAACGATTAAAAAAACACCAATGCAAACGATTGATTTATATAAATATCTTTAGTCCGGAGTAAACTTTCGTGCTACAAATATATCGTCAGGTGCACTGTACGTTACACAAGGGAAGTTCGCTACCCCCTCCACCATTTACATATGACTAAGACTCGCGTCAGGGGATTCCTGGTTCCTGACAAATCTTACCTAACCTAATCATCAGATTTAATGTGCTGGTACTGTTTATGACATTGATATCTCAGAGATAACGAGATCAAATTAAATGCAAAGTGTGTGGCCAGTCATGTGGTCATTATCTTGAACATTATGTGCTTAATTGCCCACTTGTTGAAGAATATAGAGATAGATATTATAATAACCTTTGTGACATGTCACGATATCATATTAATGAAAATAAGATACTAGATATATTGTAATAGGCCTAATTCCTAACCCTATTGTGCATCCATATGCTCTTGTGCTACAGTCCACAGGATGGATATGAGGTAGGCAGTAAACTAGCCACTACCGTCCACAGGATGGATATGGGGTGCACAATAAACTAGCACAATAAACTAGAGGTTCTGTATGCACTAATTTACCATTTTTATGAAAGAAACTGGGAGATTAGTTTCCATGTGATGACTCGTGAAGGTCTCTTCTGATTCTTTTCAAATCTTCAAATAAAATGTTTAACTGAATAAGTAACGTGTGTCGCAGTCTGCACTACTCCTTTCGCGTGCATTAAGGTACAGGGGCCTGGAGCTATGCAATAAGGCGATACCTTCCTCAGATTACACAACAGACCGAAATACATTACATTATTATTATTATATTATTAAAATTATTATTATTATTATTATTATTATTATTATTATTATTATTATTATTATTATCAACTCTATTACACTCACACCTTACTTCTAATCATCCTTTACCAATCTTTGTATGTTTTTTCCTTTTCTCCATTTGTTACCTATTGCCCTTTTCCTCAAATTCACTCCCTCTCTTCCTCTCTCTCTCTCTCTCTCTCTCTCGCCCCTCCCCAGCAAGACTTTGTATTCGCCAGGTAGTGAGTTAGGATCAGATAATCCCAGGTAACTGACACACCAGGTCCACCTGACACTTAGAACTATTGTGAGGCAGACACGCTTCCTCTGTGGGAGGTACGGCTCCTACGTGGGAGGTGAGGGAGGCACGGCTCTTGTGTGGGAGGTGGGTGAGGCACGGCCCTTGTGTGGGAGGTGGGTGAGGCACGGCTCTTGTGTGGGAGGTGGGTGAGGCACGGCTCTTGTGTGGGAGGTGGGGAGGCTCGCCATTATATATATATATATATTATATATATATATATATATATAATATATATATATATATATATATATATATATATATATATATATATATATATATATCGCCTCGTTGAAAGGAGATTGTTGTTATTGTCAACAAAGCTATGATTCTCTCGTGTGTGGTCGTGTGTCTAAGAGCAGGTCAAGCAACACTGTAAGAACGTGAAAAAAACCAGTCATACGTTCACAGGTGACACAAACACAACACAACCTCCTCCTCCTCGTCTTGAAAGTCGAGAACCTCCAGAAATAAATCTTTGGAGGTTAGATGTGCCTCTTATTACTCTCGTTCCTTCAAGTTCCGCGAGTCTTCTTGGAGGTAGAACGGTGTGGTGATAGTTGTTTCTACCACAATCTGGTGTGGTGATCGTTGTTTCTACCACAATCTGGTGTGGTGATCGTTGTTTCTACCACAATCTGGTGTGGTGACAGTTGTTCCTTCCACAATCTGGTGTGGTGACAGTTGTTTCTACCACGATCTGGTGTGATGATAGTTGTTCCTAACATAATCTGGTGTGGTGATAGTTGTTCTTACCACAATCTGGTGTGGTGATAATTGTTCCTACCACAATCTGGTGTGGTGATAGTTGTTGCCACCGCAATTTAGTGTGGCCATAGTTCTTCCTACCACAATTTAGTGTAGTCATATTTCTTCCTACCACAATTTAGTGTGGTCGTAGTTCTTCCTACCACAATTTAGTGTGGTCACAGTTGTTCCTACCACAATCTGAGGCGTTCTCGTTCACTCCCCGTTAATGAATATGTAATTAACGCAATTTTCTTAATGACTCCACGCGCGTTGTTTCCTGCTAATTACTTAACAAATAAAAACATCTCTAAGTATTACATTAGTCGATATTAATGACGCACTTGTACTAAACATACTAGATAAAATTTCTCTCATGTCATTAGTATATAAACGTGATATTCAAGTCAATGACTTCCCATATTACTCTGATACAACCTCGATCCTTCCCATCCCAGGCCCCCAAAACCTCTCTCTCTCTCTCTCTCTCTCTCTCTCTCTCTCTCTCTCTCTCTCTCTGCTCTCTCCTCTCTCTCTCTCTTCCTAATCGTCATCCCTTTCCATCCTTCCTCCCATCCTTCTCTTCGTCGTGGGATAGGCCAGAATGAGAGATGGTAATTCCCAAGTGATAGTAACTCCAGTTCTGCTGGACGGAAATCTTTGAAGCTGCCGTAAATGATGAATCTTTTACCATATACTGAAGTCTCCCAGCTCAGGCTGTGCTACTGAAGTCCCCCAGGGAGGGATCCAGTCCCACTGAAGAACCTCGTAGGGAGGGATCCAGTCCCACTGAAGAACCTCGTAGGAAGGGATCCAGTCCCACTGAAGAACCTCGTAGGGAGGGATCCAGTCCCACTGAAGAACCTCGTAGGGAGGGATCCAGTCCCACTGAAGAACCTCGTAGGAAGGGATCCAGTCCCACTGAAGAACCTCGTAGGAAGGGATCCAGTCCCACTGAAGAACCTCGTAGGGAGGGATCCAGTCCCACTGAAGAACCTCGTAGGGAGGGATCCAGTCCCACTGAAGAACCTCGTAGGAGGGATCCAGTCCCACTGAAGAACCTCGTAGGGAGGGATCCAGTCCCACTGAAGAACCTCGTAGGGAGGGATCCAGTCCCACTGAAGAACCTCGTAGGGAAGAAGAAGGGGAACCCTAACCCACTGAAAGAAATTTCCTTCTGTTTATTCCAACCGGAGTTACGACATGGCCGGCGACGTACCAGTTACCTCCCCCCTCCCCTCTCCTCCTCTTCCACCTACCCCCCCCTCCATCGCCCTCAAAAGGAAACAATTTGCTCAAGTGCCTTTTACGAATTCGCGTCCGGTTTCCTTAACACGGTTTTAGTGTTGTGTTGGAGGGGAATGCTGTAGCGCAGGAAATTAAATGCAAAGGCCTCTAATTTTTTTTTCTATTCAGGGGATTGGGGGGCATAGGGCAGGGGGGCAGGGGGAGCAAGGGGAAGGGGGGGCAGGTGGGGCAGGGGGGGCAGGGGGGCAGGTGGGCAGGGGGGGCAGGGGAGCATAAAAGAGAATGACGTCAACACAAAGAATGTTAATGATGCTTTTTTAATGTTAATGTTAATAGTATTGTTATTTTTTTTTTTTTGCTATTTTTTTTTTTTTTTTACTTTTTACTGTTTTTTTCTAATTTTTTTGAACTGGAAAGTTTAGTTGCATATTCGTAATTTTTTTTTTAATACTGGCTGAAAAGAAATTTTTCAAAAAAAAAAAAAGAAAGTTTAGGTGAGATTATTTTTTTTTTTTTTTGGATAATTCTGAAGGAAATTTTTCTAAAATGTTTTGATGGACATATTTTTTTTATGGCGATTTGAAAGGATATTTTTTTTCTTCTTTTTGTTTTAAAGATAAAATGAATGGATTTCAAGTTATTTTGATACAAATATTCTTCTAGCAGGTCTTTCTAACAGGTCCTTCTAGCAGGTCTTTCTAGCAGGTCTTTCTAGCAGGTCCTTCTAACAGTGGTTGTAACAGGCCCTAACACCTAGTTCTTCTAACAATAGGTCATAGTGTCTGGTCCTTCTAACAATATTCTAAGGCGTGGTCCTTCTAACAGGTCTTTCTAACAGATCCTTCTAACAGCTGGTGCTTCTAACATTAAACCAATTCAACACCTGGCATATCTAACACCAGGACCTTATAACATGACGTCTTTCTAACAATAATTCCTTGTAACACACATCCCTTTAACGCATGATTCTTTTAACATCACTTTCTAACATCGTATCCCTTCACCACCTAGTTCTAACACCACCACCTTCCTCTAACACCTATCATAAAGACCTCCCAAAAATCTAATTTTCCTAGCAACTAATCTAAGACCCAGTAATTCTATCTATTGGTCCCAGCATCACATTATTCTTTGTAAATAGTCCAAGTCGGACCGAAACGTCGTGGTAAGCTCCTCTCTCTCCTATGTGCGGGTTATTTGTGTATTGTTCCAGTCATGGTATTGTGTCTTTGTCTTATTTATCACATTCTTCTAACATGTCATTTTCCTATTATCTTCTTACAGTGAAGGTGACGGACTCAGAGGTACTGCACATCCCTACAGTGTCTCGGCTCCACATGGGAGCATATCTCTGCATAGCTTCCAACGATGTTCCTCCTTCTGTCTCCAAGCGTATCACCCTCAAGGTCCAATGTAAGTAGAGAGAGATGGATGGAGGGGGAGGGAGGGAGAGGGGGGGGGGAGAAAGAGGGAGAGAGAGAAAGAGGGGAAGAAACGAGGGAGTTTAGAACAATTCACTCTTTACAAATCTGTTAGTTACTGGTCATCAAAGGCCTGTGTGTGTGTGTGTGTGTGTGTGTGTGTGTGTGTGTGTGTGTGTGTGTGTGTGTGTGTGTGTGTACTTACCTAATTGTACTCCCCTAATTGTGGTTGCAGGGGTCGAGACTCAGCTCCTGGCCCCGCCTCTTCACCGACCGCTACTAGGTCCTCTCTCCCCCTGCTCCATGAGCTTTATCATACCTCGTCTTAAAACTATGTATAGTTCCTGCATCCACTACATCGCTTGCCAGACTATTCCACTTCCTAACTACTCTATTACTGAAGAAATACTTCCTAACATCCCTTTGACTCATCTGAGTCTTCAGCTTCCAATTGTGACCCCTTGTTTCTGTGTCCCATCTCTGTAACATCCTGTCTCTGTCCACTTTGTCTATTCCACGCAGTATTTTGTATGTCGTTATCATGTCTCCCCTGACTCTCCTGTCCTCCAGTGTTGTCAAACCGATTTCCCTTAACTTTTCTTCATAGGACATTCCCCTTAGCTCTGGAACTAGCCTTGTTGCAAACCTTTGCACTTTCTCTAATTTCTTGACGTTTTTGACCAGGTGTGGGTTCCAAACTGGTGCTGCATACTCCAGTATGGGCCTGACGTACTTAGTGTATAAAGTCTTGAACGATTCCTTACTGAAGTACCGGAACGCTATTCTCAGGTTTGCCAAGCGCCCATATGCCGCAGCAGTTATCTGGTTAATGTGTGCTTCTAGCGATGTACTCGGTATTATACTCACTCCTAGGTCTTTCTCCTTGAGTGAGGTTTGCAGCCTTTGGCCACCTAGCCTATACTCTGTCTACAGTCTTCTTTTCCCTCCTCCGATCTTCATGACTTTGCATTTGGCGCCAGTTTCTGGACCCCACATCCAGCCTGTCCAGGTCTCTTTGTAGACCTGTCTGGTAAGCGTCTGATTTAATTCTCCTCATTAACTTTACGTCATCTGCAAACAGGAACACTTCTGAGTCTATCCGTTCCGTCATGTCGTTCACATATACCAAGAATAGCGCTGGTCCCAGGACTTACCCCTGTGGGACCCCGCTCGATAGCCAGCACGGATTCATGGAAGGTAAATCCTGTGTCACAAACCTACTCCCCGCAGTATTTTGTATGTTGTTATCATGTCTCCCCTAACCTTCCTGTCTTCCAGTGTCGTCAGGCACATTCAGGATATTCCTCTTAGCTCTGGAACTAGCCTTGTTGCAAACCTTTGCACTTTCTCTATTTTCTTGACGTGCTTGACCAGGTGTGGGTTCCAAACTGGTGCTACATACTCTAGAATGGTCCTGATGTACACAGTATACAGTGTCTTGAACGATTCCTAATTAAGGTATCGGAACGCTGCAGCAGTTATCTGGTCGATGTGTGCTTTCCGAGATGTGTTCGGTGATATACTCACCCAAAGATCTTTCTCCTTGAGCGAGGTTTGCAGTCTTTGGCCACCTAGCCTATACCCTGTCTGCAGTCTTCTTTGCCTTTCCCCAACCTTCATGACTTTGCATTTGACGGGGTTAAATTCGAGTAACCAGTTGCTGGACCAGGTGTCCAGTGTGTCCAGGTTACTTTGTAGTCCTGCCTGATCCTCACCTAACTTCACATCACATCCTCATTAACTTCACATTGTCTGCAAACCGGGACACTTCTGAGTCTATCCCTTACGTCATGCCATTCACAATTACCAATAACAGCACTGGTTCCAGGACTAACCCCTGTGGGACCCCGCTCGTCACAGGCACCCACTCTGATACCTCATCACGTACCTTGACTCGTTGTCTCCCTGATCCATTGCAGTGCCCTTCCTGTTATTCGTGCCCGATCCTCTAGCTTCTGCATTAATCTCTTGTGGGGAACTGTGTCGAAGGTATCTTTTGCAGTCCAAGGAAATACAGTCAACCCTCCCCTCTCCCTCGTGTCTTCCGTTACCTTGTCATAAAACTCCAGTAGGGTTGTGACACAGTATTTGCCTTCCATGAATCCGTGCTGGTTGTCGTTTATAATCTTGTTCCGTTCCAGGTGCTCCACCACTCTCCTCCTGATAATCTTCTCCATGACTTTGCATACTATACATACTGTGTGTGTGTGTGTGTGTGTGTGTGTGTGTGTGTGTGTGTGTTGTGTGTGGTGTGTGTGTGTGTACATGTATATATATGTCAGTGTTTAACACACACATCTCTTCAGTAAACCTTCTTTAACTATACCTCTCCATTTAAGTATAAACCATTGTTTTTGTTAAACCTCTGGCACCATCTTTTTAAAAAGGTCAACACACATGTTATTTTAACCAATTTAACCACTTATTTTCAGTTTAACTTTACAAAAATAAATTTTCTTTCTTACAACATACACACTATACCACTTTCCATATATTTTTTTTGACTTAAAACCAAAGTGCGTCCTTAACACTTACTCAGTTTACATAATTTATATATTTTCTTTAAAATGTTTATTCGTGCGTGGTTTAAAAATCCAGTGGAATTCAATGAAGGTTTTTTAAAGCTAGCTCATAACTGATTTCTAGTGGCAAGGAATTTTGTTGTTCAAACAAGCTTTTGTTGTTCAAACAAGCTTTTGTTTTGATTGACTCTTGTTGCAGAGATAACTGCGGTGGTGTCTGGTGGCTGGGGTAGGTGTGGTATATGGGAGAGGGGAATAAAGAGGAGAGAGGGAAATAAAGGGGGGGGGGGGGGAAAAGGGGAAGGGGATGAAAGAAGGAAGGGGGTAAAGGAGGGAAAGAGGGAGGAAATAGATAGAGGAGATAGTAAGGGAGGATGAAGAAAACAAAAGAGGTATTGAGTAAAAATGAAGAGAGAGAGGAGAGAGGGGAAAGAGAGAGAGAGAGAGAGAAAGAGAGAAGGATATTAAATAAACACCAAAATGTCCATTTACATTGTTGCTTTCCAAAAATTTTATTTTAATATATAATATATATAAATATTATATATATATAATTTTATATATATTATTATTGAAATTCACAAACCGAGGGGGTATTTTGTATAACACACTGCATAGCCAAGGAGTTCGAACCCATGCTGTTTTGGGGCCCCCCTTTCATCCGTCATGGGGGGCGAAAACCATGACTTTTTAGACCACTTGTCTAATGCAGTGTTATTGAATATGTACAAATAACTGAGAATGTGATCAAGAGTTGGGGAAATAATGGAAATTAATTTCTCACTTAGTCAAATGCACACTGAGAATCACTTTGTTTCTTGTGACGTGCTTCTGTATGCACACAAACACACACGTACAAAGGTTTATTAAAAACAACACATGTTAACACACACAGTCCTACATAGAAGTGATGGCACCACACAATATTTTATAATCCTGGAAACCAAGCTTAATGAATTTCCCATTAAAATAAATACTTTGGGAGCAAGAAAATTATGGAATTTGTAAACTAAAACAAGTTGAGACAGTTGACAGGTGCGAGCATTATTTCTCCCCACCAAAAGCAAATTTTTTGTTTTTTCTGTTTTTTTTTTTGTTGTTGTTTGTTGCGACGTTTTGTAATGTTTAGGTTATGCTTTTGGGGTTTTTGTTTTAGGCGCCGTCCCAATGTTTAGGTCAGCCTTGCTTCATTGAGACGAGATGGCTTTAAAGGCTTGTGCTTGGAAAGACACTAAATCAGGTTTTGGAGTTATTAAAAGTTTTTAGTCAGAGGCTGGGAGGGGTTGGTGAAGGGGATGTCATTTAAGGGGGTTGGGGAGAAAAATAGATTACTTGGGGGATGTATAAATCTGTAGTAGAGAGAGGAGGGGTAGATGTCATCCTAGGAAAGAAAAAGAGGGAGGGGTAAAGTAGGTTTTGTGGTGCAAGGGGCTTGGACATAAAGCAGGCGCTTCGGCCCCAAAATTAAAAAGATTTGAGACAAGGTTTTATTGGATTTAAACGAGCTGGAGTGTGGCGGGTTAATATTTAAAAAAGGAATTCAGGTTAAAAAACGGTACCCAGAAAAATTTCCTGAGGTGGAAGTACAGTGCCTGCACTCTAAAATGGGTTTGGTTTATTTGCTGTTTAAAGGGACATCTAACTGTGTACACAGCGTCTCTGGCAAGACAGTTTTAAGGTGAATGATGGTGAAAGTGTTTCTTTTCCGGCCACCTGCCTCGGTATGAGACTGCTCAGTTCTGGTAAACCGTATTCAGAATATATAAATGCTCTGGAAAACGTACAGAGGAGTGAAAATTTGATCCCATTAAAACCCAGAAATCTTTCCCTAGGGATGAATGGGGCCCCTAACTGACACCCTCGAGGCGTAAATTAGGGGGGATGATCGGGGTATATGGAAAAAGGAATTATAAATAAGGTTTAAATTATTAGGGAAAATTTGAAGCAAGCAACCCACAATGGTATTCAATCGAAAAATTATTCGGAAGGAATAGAACATTTTTGGTATAGATTTGGAGGTGAACAACCCGATCATTTAAAGGGTAAAAGTTTTTAGTTTAAAATTTGTTTAAAAAATGGGGTTGGGGTTTTGGTTTGGACCTACTAGCTTTGTGCGGCTGGTGCTTTTCCGTGGGTGGGTGGTGGGTGGGTAAAGGGGTTTATCCGGGAGGGGAATGAACCATCCCATAGGGTCAACTTTGAGTCCTTTCTTCAGTTTAAAAATTTGGGTCCGAATAGTAAAAATGGAATTAAGCAAGAAGAACCATTTTGGGGATTTAGCCCTTTTTGGGAATTTATTTTCCGTTTGGGGTTAAAGTTTTTTTTAAGGTGGGGGATGAAAATTTTTGCCCCCGGGATTTAGAAAATTTTTATTAAAAAGTTTTATTTATTTAGCCGGGAAATTAATTTTTTTGGTTTGTAATAATTTAAATAACAACACAGTGTTTTTTTTGTTAAAGGTCAGAATGATTTTGGGGAAATTATTGCATACACAAATTTTCGTTGGGTTTTT